AGTTTTTGTAAATTTTTTGCTCACTGGAATGGATTACACAGTTTAACTTTTTATTTAAATCATTTCCTTACAGATTTCTTGCAAGTACTTTACTTCACAACTTAAGCTTATACATCTTTCAGCAGGGTCCTTGATGACATGCAATATTTGTAGATAAAAGGCAATAGAACAAACAGTATGATACAACTGAAGCATATCATCAAGGGAAGTTAAATAAGTATATGTTTAGAGCAAGCATAGGCAGAATATAATAACCTAGACAAACTCTTTTTAAAACCTTGGAACATTTTTTACTCCTTAAATCTCAGATTCCTCTAACCAGAACTCCTTATCCTCGTAAATAGAAGGGTTTGGAGAAACACAAAACAAAGGTTTATATGGTGATTGACTGATTATCAAAAAATCCCATGTACCATATCAGAAATATATCAGTTGTCATCAATTGTTCCATATGTCCACCAGTATATCATTGTCAATGATCATGAATGATAGAACACATGGAGTTCTGTGCCAGTTTTCATATTATGTATGGGTTAAAATGGCAGTAAATACAGTAAATTCACAAATTTTTGAGATTTTTTTTATTATTGTGAAAAATTGCAACTAGGTAGGTTTCGCAAAAATAAAATCTTGCGTTTAAATTTTGATATCGTTATTAGTTTGTAACATTTCCTAAAATTCAAATAATGAATGTTGCATTTTTGTAAAAAATTGCAATAATATATGCACACAAACATTTCTGAATTTACAGCACTAGAAAATTTGTCAATGACAATTTCAGGCAACAGATATAAATAATAGACAACAATCTCTGTTTTTGTAATTTATTGCTCATCTTAAAATGGTCTGTTGGAAATGTATATAAATTCAGTAGAATAAAAATATAGTTTACACAATAAAAGAAACTACAAGGCAAAAATCAAAAGAATCCACTGTAAATTACAACAAAAAGTGAAAAAAATAATAGTTTTTAGTGCAAAAGATCATTAAAATTGATTTTTTTTTTGAGATTATTTTATTTATTAATTTTTAATATCAAGAACCTTCAAAATTTCATAATTTTACTATAAATTTGTGAAGTAATACACAAAGGGTAACACAAACAAAACACCGGTTCCAGCAATTCTAAATATATTTGTTCAAAGTTTAATAAAAAGAAGACTAAATATCTACATTTTGATTTAACAATTACTTTTAACCTTGAACCATTGTTTACAACAAGAACTGACACTGGCCAAAAAAACCCCAACTAAACACCTGAATCAAATATATGTTTTTATGGCTAAATTTTTTCTATATAAATGTGCTGACTTCTATTCATGGTGTTTCTTTGCATGGATTTTGTGATTAATCAAAACAACAAATTTTAACACACAGACAAATGTTATTTTCCATTTATTTATTATGTGTAAATAAAAAAACTCAAATTTAGAACTCCATTTACAGATGATTTTCTAGAAGAAAAAAAAACATAAAAAATCCCCCAACTTATGGCTGGAATCCTTCAACAAACTGCTTTTATGGCATTTTTTTTTTCTTAATTTAAATATCAAAAACTGTTTTGAACTTGAGAGGATACATTTCTTTTGTGGCTGTTCCCATTTTGGAATAATTGATTGCCCACTAAACTTGTGAACAGACCCGAGGTAGATGAAAGTGAGACAAGGAACAAGTTTAACATTAATCAGGGATATTTGGTTTACTTACTTCTATACAACAAACAATTATTTCATTTTAGATAAAGATCACTTTCAAACGGGAAAAACAAAAATGTTTACAATGTGAAAAAGGAAATAATTCAAACAACTATAAACAAAATAATATAATAAATATCTGAATTAGCACTTTAATAAACTCTAACCTACACAAAGCGTAATATGATATCAGTAAAGCCTTATATAAAACTCTATATTTTTGCTCTCATCACAAAAATATTAAAAACTTCCTGCATATAACAACAAACTTTTCTATATTTGTGTGTGGATTAGTAATAAAATTTGTTTATGTACAATGTGTCAATTACAATGGAAAAATACTATGGAGTAGTAAAAAAAGCCTTGTACAGGACAATTACATAAGCTTCCATTTACAGATATACAGATTTCTGGACAAAGTAGGAGTGCAGTACTTATTCTTTTAGCAGTTTTCGACAAAATTTATAAATTATTTAATTTATCGATTTCATACATTTACTTCAATGAATTATATTTCATCCTGTAAAATATTACACCTGTTGTTTTCTCATTAAGGAAGGGTACCTGCTTAAGTTACCATATTTGTCCAGGAACTGTACAATTATAATATATACATTCAATAAGCCACGAGAGGAGGGGGAGTTTTACTACAGAAGCATTCTAATGTGAATCCTTTAAAGCCTTGATGTCCTATACAAGATTGAGGTAGCGAAGTTTGTATTTCTTTATATGACAAAACTACTAATTCAGAAAATACAAAATGATTATAATCTAAATAATCTCACAAACGTGTCAAAGCAGAAATAATATGATCCTTGGCGACACGACACATCATAATAAAAGACAAAATTGAAAAACATTTACAGCATTTTTTAAAATGAAGAAATTAACCATTTAAATATAATCTGCTTCTATGAATTATAGACAGTTTATATAAAAATTTACCTTTCCTTAAGGAAATATCTAAATGTTAGAAACCAAAAATGAGGACTAACCCATCTCATTACAAATTAGTGAAGTGAAATCTGAACACAGTGACTTCTCTTTGTAGGTTCTCAACAATTATATTGTATCATGAGAACTTTGTAACAGTGATTTAGTGTATTTTATTTGAATATGAATGACTAAATCAGTCCCTTTACATCCATTATAAATCTACGCTTCTAATATTGTTAACAAATTAAAAGAAAAAAAATCATGTACCGGCATAATATTTTTTTTCTCTCCCAAAAATGGCCGTGTTATTATCTTTAAAAGAGTGCACTAAAATGTCAATGATTTTGTGTCTTATACAATGAATGCAGATAAAAATGAGTGTTTCTTTTGACCTGCATAACAACCATTTAAAAAAAATCCAACAAAGGCTAAACACTGTAATATCAAACAAAATGTATCAACAAAAACAATGGAAATAAATCGTCTAAATAAATAACAAAATACTTCTCCTTGTATCATTTTACTTGTCTAGATAAATGTGTTGACTTTGGGTTTCATAGAACAACTTTTACTACTAAATCATAACAATTTTAAAGTTTGAGTAAAATAAGAAGTTTTATGAAACCCAAAATAACATGTTTGCACCACCTTGGTCTGTTTCATCTAAGATAATTAGTTAAGGTTACAATTAAAAAAAACCCACTAGTGAACATTTATGACTAAGAGGCAACAGAAGTGTAATGTTGTTCCAATCTTGTAAATCCATTTTCAATAAATCAAACACGAGAAAAAACCTGAGAAAATCACATAAACTTCAAAGGGACAAAGAGCAGGTGTGTCGACAGAGTTATCCTCTCCTGCTATACATACATCCCCTCCATGTGAATCTTAACTCATTAAAAATGTCAGGATGATAAGGAATAAAACATTAAAGAAAAAGAGCATTGTTATTTCTTCTGACATTTTTCTTCTTCATCTGTTGTTTCCCTTACATATTTATTGCTAGAAGTATTTGAATAATAAAAAGAACGAAACCAATAACTCTTTGTTTCCATACTATGCTAAGTCTAACTTAAGTCTAACTTCTAAATAAAATTGTTCTGCAATTTTCAGGAAAACTATTAAATCATTAATGATATAAATGATATGTATCAATCAAACACTATACAAGAATAAGTGAAAATATATATTTGACCTAGTTTCAACACTTAAAAATGCCACTATCATAAAAATTTAAATCATATTTTTTACAATGGATTATAATGCCAATGAACTATTCATGGAAACTCTTAAGGTACAATACATATATCATATGTTTTATGTCTCATCTTATAAAGTAAGCATGTTTGTACAGCTGTAAAGGACATTCATACTAAGAAAAATGTTTAACACTACTCTGTCCTGTGAATACAAGTATGGAAAAGTTTAACTAGCATATAAGTATGAAAAAGTTTAACTAGCATATAAGTATGAAATATTGTTGAAAAAATATAAACTCAAAAAGCAGGATGACTTTCATTAAAAAAAAAGGAGTTACCCATTCAAATTCAACATGATAGATGAAAGGAAATACATATTATGATATGTGTAAATTTAATAAGCATATATATTCTGAATTGCATTGTTGTGACTTCCTGTTCATTTTTTCCCTAGAGTTATCTCCCTTTGACAATTTTATGTGATGAAATAGGACCTCGTTTTTATGTTATATTACATCTACAACACAATGTATCAATTATTTTGATTATACATATTTAATGTGTTAAAGCAAAACACACTTTTTCCCTTTATATCTTCACATATATTTTATATTAATCTGTTAATGTTACATTGATGTAACTAAAAGAACACATAAATAAATTTTCAACACCCTAAGGGCTGATTTCATACAAATTAAAAAAAACACTGGCACATCACATAGAAAAACAAAACAGGTCTAACCCTTTTCCTCTTGACAATATATTGTAACAATGTGCCAAGATCTGACAAAAATTAATTTTCAAATTAGGATCAAGTTTACAGCAAATATAAAAGAATATTTTGATATAGTGAATGTAACTGAAAAAAAATATGCATGCAATTAACATCTACACATTCAAACATTTTCTTTAATAAATCTAACCAACAAGAAAAGCTTACATCTGACCTCTGACAGTATGAAGGTTAAAGGTCATGCAGTACAAAACATGAGACAGTAAAGCACCTAAGATTTTGGTGTAAAATAATCTATTCCTGAGTATTACAATCACGGTGCTTTAGGTGTCTCCGATATCTGTACAATGGAAGAAAATTACAAGCAAAATTTCCATCCTTTTTTAAAGTATGTCTGTCAATCAAGAGGATTATCTTATGCTGTTGTCTTTCGATTGCTTTGTGATGAATTTTAATTTGCGTCATTAAAAGACATACAGTGAACTATTTTTACCCTGGTCAAATGAACAGTTTCGATTATCAGTCTGACTGAACAATTTCTGTAGCATCTGCTCGACATATTGGACATGTTCTGTTTGTCTGAAAATACACAATGAAATCTTATTTGTAAATATGAAATTATAAGACCAATGGCTTAAATAAAGGACATTGACAAAATAAGTAATTTTTAAAATTTAAGATAGATAGGGGGGGGGGGGGAAATAAATTTAAAATTTACACTAAATAAAAAAATTTTGCTGTGCCAAAATGTAGTTTATACAGGCTTTTTTTTTTTAAATATAATATAAAAAATATTGGTCACCAAGCTTTTTTTCTAGCTACAAGTTGTGCAAGTTGTCATATTTTGTAAGGATTTATCATAAAAAAAACACTTATGTTTAAGTATAACCTCAATCAAATCTCATTTATCCATTTATTTTCCCTTAAAAGTTCCTAGATTGATGTAAATTTAAACAGTATTACCAAAATGCACAAATGAAGAAAAGTTGTACATACCTTCAACCATTTGTCAACACATTTAGCATGAAATTCATGACTACAAGGTAGCACTCTGAGCAGTTGCCTGTTCTCGAAGTCACACATACAGACAACACAGTTGGTTTGGTCCATGTCTGAATTGTGGTTCTCCTTATTAAATCTATAGGCTGGCAGTTGTTCAATCTCTGGCTTTGTTAAGCCTTTTGGCTTGGCATCTCCAAGTCTCTCTGCTAAGTTTAATAATGCCTGAAAAACCAGATAGCAAATTATCACAACTATTTTCATGTGTTCTTCATTTCAAGCATAAAATAGGTTAACAATATGTGTAGTTTTCAGTGATGACCAATCTTGGTGGATAAAGGAAAAATAGTATTTTCATGGATATTTGATTTTTGAGTTTGAATATAAGCCTAAAGAAAATTTGTACTTTGTCGAACTTTCAAATTCGTGGTTCAACTGTACCCACATTTTGGTTTTCCAGGAATAATAAAGAATCCACAGTATGCTTAATGGCTAATTTATAATCTTTCTTATTTTTTGGTACTGATCTATTGATCTGACACGTTTATTCTGCACAATCCTGATATGCTCTGTCATTGCAGAAGAATGTTTTTATCAATTTTTGTGAATTTATAACATAAAGTATCCATCATACCTCATAATTTTCCACTTCAGTCGCCTCATCATTAAAGTCTCTTCCAAGGTGAGGTATTGGAGGGTTGCTTAACATTGCTCTGCAAATATAAATCTGTATAATGTATTCTTGATTTTCTAATTATGCTATTACTTGGGACATGCTCTTACAGAACTATTCCTTAACTAAGTGACATAATGTTAATACAAACGCTAAAATAAAAATTATCTAAAAAAAAATTTTTTTCTGATTATAAAATATATTTACTACTTCATTTATACCTAGTCAGGCAATGTAATAGTTATTTTCAGACTTTTTCATAAATCTGATACACTAAATGGCAGAAATATGTGATTTTGAGTACTTCCATATCAACAATTCAATGGTAGCCAATCAAATCATTCCATATCTAATGAAATTTTATCCTACAGTTAGTTGTCAATTTTTACATCGGATGTGACCTTGAGAGGTCATACCGGTGTTATGTTGCCGCAGAAATTTCCTTGCGCTTTTGACTGATAAATACGCGGACATTATCGAGTGCTAAATAATATTCCTTATCGCTTGTTATAAATTCATTTCTTCAATGAAAATATTTGTTAAGAACAGATAAATGATATGAAAATGTTTTGTCGTGAGAAATTTATATATATCAGTAACAAATCATGAATACCGAAAATTTGTGTTATACAGATATTAATATAATATATAACAACAAACCAGATTATACTGATAACAAATAATTTAATCTCTACAATATAATAATTATTACGGTGAGGTTAATTTCCCTGTCATTTATTCATCATCCACACAGGAACTTGTCTTAGAAAAAAATATATCTATGTACCTTAACCTAACTTTCAGGTATAGAGATATGATTTTTTTTCTAAGACCATCCACCAGAACTTGTGGTCATCTGATGATGAGTTCTTCAGTACTTTGATTGTATTTGCTAATCCTTTTTTAATATCATGCCACAGTATACATTTGCATCATGAATCAGTATAGTTATGTAGATTTATACAGGTTTATCAAGAAAAAAACTTACAGGAAGTGAAGAAGGAATCCTGGGTAAGGTGGAGGAGGTAATGGTATTGACCGCAATCTTCCACTTCGTCCTCCCATGCGTGGTCGTGCATAGTGTCTTTGGAAGGGTCCCTGTTAAAATATAAATCAAACGGTTTAATACAAATAAAAACATAATCAGAATGTATATTAAATGGGACTCAAGAAAAGGTATGATAAGACCAATTTTTTACTTGATCTCATGATTTCAATAATCACAAAGTATTTTAAATCTATCAAAATCTGTTCACAAGTCATTTATCTGTCAGATATCAGGAATTAATAACTATGATGAGAAATAGCCTGCCCAAAAAAGAAATTAAACCACAAAATGTTTGATACTAAGATATTGAAGCAATTAAAAATATTTCTGGGTTAAGATTGTATTAAATTTGACCCAAAACTGCCTTTAACTTTTGTTGTCAAATTTGTCAATCATGTTATGTTAATGAAAGTGACATAAAAAGTGACATTTCTGAACATAAGGATTAGACTGCATCATTCTATTCATTTGTCAATATAATTAACATAATTTTGTAGTAAAGATTTCAGGAGCTTAATATGGTTTTAATCTAACCCTTTAACTTACAAACAACAAATAAACAAATTCCTTTATTTTGCTTTCAAAGTATGGCCAAATTAAGATTTGTCTGCCTTTTAAAACATGTAGATGTAAAGTGTTCATTTGTCATTAATAATTTGTTCTTGACTTTACCATCCAAAATGATGAATGAGTGTATGTATAAACGTGGAAACATAATGAGAATGGCTGCTTACATATAAATCATGTGGAGCTGGATGAACATTAGGTTCCTGAAGCACTACTGGGGGTGAATGTGTGAATGGCGTCTGATGATGATGGTGATGATGTAGCGGCATCTGGAAAGCCTGACGATGATGGTCTGGGATCATTTGTATTTCTTCTTCCTGGCGCTGGAAATAGAAAATGAATAACAACAATTAAAAAGAGGCCTAAACTAATTCATGAAATTCTACAATAAGTCTGTAATACAGAAACACTCAGAAATTCAGTTTGGTTAACAGGGTCATAGGTTTCCTTTATCTAGAAATAGATTGATTGATGACTGTTTAACATCCAGATCCATAAATACAAAATTTTTCTGCAAACATTTCAAATCTAGATCGATCAAGCTACAGAATGGTAACCATTGCCATTCAACGTTTAAGCATCAATCAATCCATTACATTTTCTCTGATAAGTAGTCTTATAGAAGATTTAAAATTGAAGAACTTTGAAGTCATCAAGTAGCCTTAACTAAATAATCATTTAAAAATCTAAACAAAATAAACCCAAAATCTTATGCCATGCTGTATGTATTAATAATCAGGTTATATGCATATAGATATTTAGACATATATATGTAAGGAAAATCTAAAGATCCATTTACCAAATTGAACTTATGTGGTTTCCTTTTTACAATAACTTTGCACAATTTCACTTGGAGGGACGGATGGGTGGTCAGTGCCAATTGACACTAAATTTATTTGAAAATGTAACAGTCACTTCTTTTACAAATACTTGATTTTGACCTTGAGATGACATGTAAAATACTGTTAAGCCAAAAAAAATGATTAGATTGAAATTACAATAAAGTTTCATTTCATTGATAGTAAAAATCCTAGGTCAAGATGACCTTGACTTACCTGATGAAATGGTTGATGATGCTGTTGTTGAGGATGATGATGATGATGATGGTGATGATGTGGCTGATTATGATTGGCTGTAAACTGTGTTGTTGGTGGCGACATATGTTGCTGTCGAGGTAAATGGTTGGCTAGACTATGAGGATGAGCAAACAGAGGTGGAAAAGTGTGATGTGGAATTGGTATCTGTGGTAGACTACAAGCAGGAATATGCTGCATGTTACACGTTGGTATTGGAACACTGCAGGCAGGAAATGACCATGTTGCTTGGCTACTGCACACTGGAATATGAGCTGTGGTGCATACTGGGATATGATGTGGCCCTGTGCATACTGGGATAGCAAACGGTGTCATAGAAACAGGAGCTGTTACTGGCATCTGTAAAATAAAAATAAAAATTCTGAAATCTATGGCAAAAAATATTTTACAGTATGTTCTGAGGCTTAAAAACATTTGATAGTGTGCATAATTTTTATATTTGGAGGTTTCAATTTTTTAGTTTAAGGAATAAGTAAATATTTTGTATCATTTACATTATTTGACTAGGTAAATAATTTTAAAGTGGACTAAAACAAATGTCTCCCCTTTTTTCTACACAAGTCATTTTTGTAAAGGAAAGACACACCAAAGACATTCCCGTATTAGATTTACGTTTATGTTTATGAGTGTTTTGGGGTGCCCAGTGAGGTGTATTTAAGGATAAATTCTAAAAATCCCTTTTACATTGACAAAAAAAATAAATAAAATATTTTTGAGACAAACAACCATGCAATAGTGTCTTCAAGTAAAATGTATCTTTTTTTTTTTAAGGTAGATTCATGGTATACCGCCATCTTGGATTGTACAATCGCAGTACACAATCGGTCTAGTTATTTGCCCAAATCTGCAAATTAGGAGGCAGATTGGCAATTTATTTGTCACACTGTTTATTTATTTAAAGAAAACTTGGTGATTTATTGTATTATTCAAAATATTCCAACAAATATTAAATTTTGTGTTTTGGAATCATTTTTTTCAACTAAGCCATTTAAGGGGAGATAACTCTTTTAGTAAAAAAATTACACTGGCTTGATAGGGAAATTTTTGATTTTTACTTGTAGCAAGAAAACAAGTTCGGTGACACCATTTTTTCTTTTTATTTTCTTAAAACATGTTATAAAACCTATCTTCTCACAATTTATTTCAAAATTCTATCTCATAGATTTCTTTTTATGCATACAAACAAATGCAAATGTGTTTTTTCATGAACAATCTAACCAGATTTAGGCAATTTTCAACGACTCATAGCTTGAAAAATAGCACGGTGACCCATACTTTTTATTATATTTTTGAAAAAAGCATAGTAAAATTTTCATTTTGGCAAAGTATAAGAAAATTCTATCTCAAAAAATATATACCGATGATCTACCTTAAATAAAGTTACATGGCTAACATAACTGAACACATAAGAGATTTAACAGAGCAACAAAGTATCAGCAGGAAACCAGACACTAAACTATCTTCACAGGATGATACTGAACTGACTTCAATAACCCAACATTTAACACTAATCAATTAATGTAATACATTTGTATTACACTAATATAAAATAGTCCACATAATGCTCAGACAAATAGCCTACAAGGTCTACACATCTTGAGTATATATGTGAGTCTGAAACAGTTACTGACAGGCATTAAATGTACAATTTATACATGTACAGTAAAATTCTATCAGACAAACCGTGTTAGATGTTTCATATCTTGAACATGCTGAAACATTTCTTATTTTTTACAATAAGTTTGTTATTTTGGCAAAGCTCCTGTACTCAAATACTAAGTTTTAAACTGCAGTTTTAACATTACCTAAAATTTGATTACCAGCCAAGATGAAATTCAACAATAAAATTAAACCCTAAGCAGTCTTACATCTTTCTACAAAGTACAGCAGACATGACATTGGGTGGTATAAATGAAGATAAACATGGAGATGCTGTCATATTGTTTCATATGATTCTGACAATCAAATAAGTAAAACCAGAAATTTTAAAATTGGATTTTTTTTTTTTTAAATTAAGTGAAAAATTAAATCATTATTAAAGAATCACCCACCCTAACTGAAAATTTTTCTAGAATCATATCAAAGTAATAAAGAATTTAAGGCTAATTATAAATATAAATCTGTATTGACCAAGTAAAATATTGAAATAAATGGTGCATGAAATTTAAGTCAAATCTGTTAGGTATTCTTCAGCTATTCAAAAGTAAGATATTCAGTTGTCGGTTGATATGTTACCTCAAAATCGAGCCGAATAAAGTCTAATTTCACAAAAAATATGGATTTTTATTCTGATGACATTAAAAGTTGACAAGAAACAAAACATTTTTTTTTTCATTATGAAACACAATATTTGTGATAATGTCATTTCAGTCATCACATTTAAAATCATAAGGTGTTAATTTTTATCCAAGCTCTAAATAGGGATATAGGACACCGCTGTCTAGACACAGGGTCACACTATCCACACCATAAGACATGCTGTTTAATATCACAGGATCATACTTGACCTGTTAACATTGACATTTGCTGTGTTCTAAATGATAATGGATCCCGTACAGTGTTACTTTTAAATCTATTTGGATCAGTTAATTAATAATGGCCTATAGTCCTGTTCTGAATGATGAAGGGCACTGCCTAGTACTATCTGACTTCAAATCGTCCTACTGCAGTTTACTTACTTGTTCCATTAATATTGGTCTTTGTCCTGTCCTATGATGATTTGATGGTAAGGAAGCAGGGTGAATCTGTGATGTCATCATGTGTGGGGGTTGGAAGGCACGACGTTCTGGTGAAGCCTCTCTTGTTTGCTGTGAATTTCTGTCTCTTGTTCGTCTTCTTGTACCAGGACTGAAAGAATATAAGCTATTTATAAGTATAAAATCCAAACAATCAGATTGCTACTAACTAACACAAATAAACCATAAACAATACAAATATGTAACATTTAAAACATCTCCTCAAATTTACCTAAAAATAGGGAATAGGAAGTACACATGGTAAATATCTTTATAAAATTAAGTTTAAAAAAACACTTCAATTTTTATAAATTCTGTTTTGATTGTCTGTTCATTAGTGATTATTTTGATTGGTATATACTTATATATGGTAAGCTTATAAAAAATTCAGATTCGATGGTTTACATTCTATATGACATCACATATTCACACATATACCTCATACAATGAAAACCTTTGTTTATTCTAAATTTCACAAAATGAAAATGCCAATTGAAGGATAACTTTGAATGTGGAATCAGTGTGCCATTATTTCTACCCCTATGGCATGTATAGTAATCAAATCGTGTGATTGCCATCGTCACATTAATTATTCCTCATTCTTTTGCATTTCATAGACATTTCAAAAATAAAATCCATGGTTAGCACATGATGAAAATATAGTGTGATGTAAAATGGCTAAACCATAGCAAAAACAGATTAAGAGTATTAAAATATTTAATAAAAGTAGACTTATTATTTTCATTTAGTTTCTTTAGTAATGGGAGTTAGGACATGTATGTTGATTCCCTCAAAAGTTGGGAGGATCCCTACTTAACAAAAATTCGACTACACTTTGATATGCTCTTAGTGAAGTCTAAAATTACATTTAAATACCAATTTCTTTTATGTTAACCCCCTCCTACTTAAAAAGAACGTGTCACATGCTTTGTTACTTGATCATTATGAAAAGATTATCCAAATATGGTTAAAAACCCGATCTCCAATTAAACTTTATAAATTTTGAAAAAATATTTTTATGCCCCACCTACAATAGAAGAGGGGCATTATGTTTTTCGGTCTGTGTGTCCGTTCGTTCGTTCGTCCGTCCGTCCGTCCATCCGTCTGTCCCGCTTCATGGTTGAATATTTTGGTCAAGGTAGTTTTTGATAAATTTGAAGTCCAATCAACTTGAAACTTAGTACACATGTTCCCTATGATATGATCTTTCTAATTTTAATGCCAAATTAGTTTTTTTACCCCAATTTCACGGTCCACAGAACATAGAAAATGATAGTGTGAGTGGGGCATCCATGTACTATGGACACATTCTTGTTTCTAATCAATTATCTACTAGTCCATTGTTCAATTTTCATGTAAATATTTCTTTTCAACAGTCCCAGGCTGGATTTTCATTTTTTATTTTTTTCAAACAATGTGCTAATAGTTTCAATCCTCATTATCATGCCAGCTTACATTTTAGTTTATAAATGTGGCATACATAAATATATGACAAAATAAGAATTGAAACTATTAGCACATTGTCTGACAAAATCAGAATTGCAAATATTGGCACTTTCACTTCTTTTTATTCTAACTATCATATGATCAATCAATGTTAATCCTGACAACATATTTTTGGCCATAGGATAATTTCAGAAAGACAACTTTTTCAATCAATAAAACATAGCATTCTTCTTCTTGTAACAAACAACTATTAGCAACAAACTTTCAGCTATTTTAAACATTTCACACAAAAAAGGTTACCGGTAAATAAGTGGTACACATGTACTTGGCAACAAATTGGTAGGAAAGGAAAAACCCTGTAAATATTCTATACCAATAATACCTGACAGCAAATTCCTAATTCAATACAAGAGGCTTCCTTGTACTGTCTACTGTCTTAATTTGAAGAAAATTAAAAATACAAGATGTTTGTAAACAAAAATCTATTGATTTGGACATGTTTAAGGGTGAGCAGTATTACCATGGCAATATATCAGGTATTGAATTTGTTTGATTCATAATCATCCATCTTGTAGTACTATTGACAACCTCTGCAAATCTTCCTAATAACCTAGTTGGTGACAGAAAAATGTTAAAGATTCTTGAATGTGCTCGTAGATGTAGGGCTAAGTTATATGTGATTACTCTTGCGTTTTCAATTGTCAGCAAAGTTTCTGAAATTTGCCTGAAAGTAAAATTTTGACTTAAAATCACTCCACTGAAAAATCCATTTAAAACTGTTTGAAGAACTGAATTAAAATTTTCCGATACCAAAGATGATATAACACCAAGTAAGGACCTAGTTCTTGTTTGTCGAGGATGGTTGAATACAACGGCCTGAATCCAATTTGTTGTCTCGTGAAAATATAACTGCACAAGTTCTTGAAACATATCATGTAAAGATGGAGAATTCTCTCTCCTATTACTATTGGCACTGGGTATATCATTTCCTGACTGGTCAAAGAAGTTATCTGAGTTTTGGTTATATGATGAATGCAAAAAAGATCTTTGATTAAATGTATTTTGTCTCTGATGAACATCATCTTGATGATAGTTAACAAATGTGTTGGAGCTGCCATTTAAATCTTGTTGAGAAATATGTAATGAATCATTTTGGTGAAATTCTGTTTCATTTAATAAATTTCTATTGAAATAACTACTTCCTTGAGACAGAGAAGTCGGAATAGTCGTCTCTGAATTCTGGTAAATAGTATCACTATTGACCGTTTGGTTTTGAGCATACAGATTTGATGGTTGTCTTGCAAAATGTGTAATTCCATTTCTTCCAAGGTACTGGTCAGCTGTTTCAGAAACCCTTGAAAATGCTTGATTCCATTCTACAGATTGTTCCATGCTTCCATTTGTAACTGATTGTTGCATTTCATTTGTTGATATGTGCTGATTGTAAGAAGAATACCTATTCTGTGGAATAAATACATATCTTCCAGGAATCACATCAAAAGCAAAACCCTGGTATCCTGCTCTGTTAAATATGTTCAACTGCTGTCCAAGAGGAACAAAATTCACAGGAATCATAAATGGAGTGACATGATTCACTGTTTGTACTGGATGCCCAGGTTGTTGAAAGCCCAAAAAAGAATGTCCAGATTGATTAAAGCCCACAGACTGATGTTCAGTTTGGTCACGCCTAGGTTGTTGAAAGCCTACAGACTGATGTGCATTTTGGTCATGCCTAGGTTGTTGAAAGCCCACAGACTGATGTTCAGTTTGGTCATGCCTAGGTTGTTGAAGGCTCACAGACTGATGTTCATTTTGGTCATGCCAAGGTTGTTGAAGGCTCACAGACTGATGTTCATTTTGGTCATGCCAAGGTTGTTGAAGGCTCACAGACTGATGTTCATTTTGGTCATGCCAAGGTTGTTGAAATCCCACAGACTGATGTTCAGTTTGGTCATGCCTGGGTTGTTGAAAGCCCACAGACTGATGTTCAGTTTGGTCATGCCTAGGTTGTTGAAAGCCCATAGATGTATTTCCAGTTTGGGAGAACTGACTTGAATATAAAAACTGTTGATTATCTGCATTTCCATAAACTGGTAAATTTCTAGCATGGAACATGTTCTCAGCCATCTTGTTGCCTGATGTCTATGACAATACCAAAACACATTTGTAAAAGATAATTTGACTGGTCAATGTTGGTTGCCATACAATACCTTTCATCTAAGCATGACATTATGACGTCACAAGGCAATATCCTGGACACAGTTGTTGCTATATAACAGACTTTGCCTAGCAAAAGTTTTATGACGTCACAATATACAACCCCTACTAAATTTGTTAAGATATCAATACTAATTTTGTGTTGTCCCATTAATTAACCAAAAACTGATGTACAATTGCTGTTTCATACCATGTGTCATCTTGTGTCATATCAATAGAAATTAGAGCAATAAAGTCTTCAATACATATGACATGAACTTAATAAAATTAAAAACTAAGCTGACATACAAAATTTTGCACTTGAATTCATTCAACAATCATTGACAATCTTTTACAATACAACAATAATATCTTTTGATTTACATGAAGAGTGAAACAGTTTCAGGGACATGAAAAAGTACATCAATAGATATGTATGCATATGGTAAAAGCAGTGAGGAGTAAACATGGTAAATGGCCCGTTAAAACGACAAGAAATAAAACAATTTGAAATAGGATCTGCAGTTAATTTTGTAAACAATAATTATAGAATAACTAACAAGATTTCAAATATAGAAAAAATATTCAACAGTGACTGAAGAACACATTAATTCACGAAATGCATAGTGCACGAGTTAATTATCAGTGTTGTTTTCGGTCACATGTTGAAATTTTTTCGATATTTCAATTTTTAGAACATTTATTGTTTTATTGCATTGAATTGACCATGGATTTTTTAATGGAAATAAAGTAGAAAATATCTTTTTCCATGCATTCTCAATTGTTTTGACTCAACATCATCAACAATGTCTTGACAACACCCATTGTTGTATGATATCAGAGGAGTGAAATTATCAGTTTGTATTTCACTGGGAAATCATGTAATTCAATGCAACCAATGTGATAAATTATAATGATTTTATGACATGTTGACCAGTTAACCATATAAACCTTAAGTTTGTCTTTCAAAAGAGCAGCATATTTCAAAATTGATTTGGAAAACTTAAGAACTATTAGTCTAATGATCTGCTCAGACACAGAGTTCAAGTTTTAAATGTAGGTAATAATTACAAAAAGCCATCATTTAAAATACCACATATTTTTAATCATTTTACATATGATAAATAGGACATGAAAAATCTAAATCTATTCTTATAACCTAACAAATTACCATATATATGATTTTGTTTGAAGTTAACATAGTGTATATCTATGTACACGTTCTAAGTATAAAATGTCACAATTTAGTTCTACTTTGACATTATTATGTATTTATACTATTACTAATATTCATATTATAAATTCCTGCATTAGTAAATCTAGCCCACTAAAACCCTTCAATTGCATTGCTATATCCTACAAAGGATAACTTTACTTAATAAAGTGGTCTTGGCATGAATATCACCTAATTGTAAGTGATGTTGTGTATTACAAAAGATAAATCCATGATCACAAGCAGGAAATTTCTAATTCAAACTTCCTATGATAATGTCTCAAGGAGTTTTGTTTACTCATCATGCTCATAGTTAAAATATCATCAGTCAGTTCTGTAGTTTTGAGCAATAATTTTTTATTTAAGTTTTTATCATCATTAAAAATAAGTAGTTGAGACACCAGCAAAAATATTACATTTCAGATGTGTCCAGTAATGTAGTGTTGAAAGAAAGACATAATAAAAAAAAAATATTGTTCAAAGTAAAATGTCTCTATTAAGTTTTATCCTCATGATTTTTTTACTTTAAAGGAATGGAAAATTTATAATATAACCAAGGAAATCCAAGATCAAAGAAACACAGGTATTTTGTGGTTTAACCATTATACCTTAGTATAAAACTTCTGTATATATACAGCCGGCTGAGTATTGGCAATTTTACATTTAAAGATACAAAACAAAATATACACTATGTAATGTATGTGTGGGAAGTTTATAAAATTTAACTGTGGTCCTGTTCTACGTGTTTTAAACTTGGATATCTACAAAGATTGAGGTTATAGAGAGTCTTTAGTTAAAATGATACAATCCCTGTTTTATGGCATTCTCGCTTAAATATTTAAAGTACACATGTGTAAGTGGCTTAAGGCTAAGTAATTTGAATAGGGCCTAAATTAAAGCTGTCATTGTACACATCTGTTGTTAAACTCTTGATAAATAGCAAAATCATCTAGGATTTCTCATTTCATGTTTGCTCAGTGGAGTCACAAATCCCTAGGAAAATGGGTGAATAAACATAGCCTTGTTAAAGGGAGAGAACAAAAAAGATTTCTATAGAACATGTCAACAAAGGAAATCAATCGTCAGCCACCACAATCTCTGGATGGAAGAAAACATTGATTTCTTTTGGCTATATTTCTCTATGGAGAATTTTAATGAAGGAGATAATCAATGAATTATTTGACAAATAAAATGCTGAAATATTAATCTGTACATGCCACAAACCTGACACCCTAAAATACAAATGTTCATAAATATATTACACAGCTAAACATATTGGCAATCAATACAAGAACAGTTTACCTTCTACGAGCCCTTGGTGTATGGCATCTATCTGACGATAATCTCCGTAACTGATTGGAAGGTCGACGTCGGGCTGAACTGAGTCTGGCAGCTTCTGTGATCACCTCTCTGGTCCAAGATGGTGGGGGGCTTGGAGAATGTGTCAAATCAATATAACTGCCGGAGGTTTTTCTCCTCTTTCTGCTAGGGCTCTCACTCTGTAGAAAAAAAAACAATCAATACTATAGCAATCATGAATGTGTCAATGCTATGGTGAGCTAGTTATTAACACACACAAATCGTACATGCTTTGTAAATTTTCCTTCATACATTCATGTTGGAATTGATTTCCCCTTTAATATTTGAAATTTTATCATTAAATTGCATCAAAACTACACTTGGGGATACTATTACAGAAAAAAAATCCATATTGACATACACCATTTAAGGTAAAACTAGGAAAAATCAAAGTGAAAAAAGTCAAGCTGATCTCTTCATCAAACATGGATACAGACTGTAATATTTAATGAATAATTTCCTTAAATATAAATAACTTTTATTGATAATGACAATGCTGCAGTAATAATTGCAGTAGTCTGGTGAAAATATCTCAGATCTATTTCTAGGACGTTTTCGACTTGTCCATACAAGTACTTAAATGGACATTCTGAAATACAAGTATTCTCAGGGCAAAGGTCAAAGTACATGTCCCAAAATACACTTCTTAACTAGAGAACTACACTAATTCTACCCAATGATGGATTTATTACTATCTACCAATGTGGTTGTTAACAAACATAATAACATAATGACCAGCACTTTCTGCTATAAATAAATATAACATAATGACCAGCACTTTCTCCTATACATAAATATAACATAATACCCAGCACTTTCTCCTATACATGAACATAACATAATGACCAGAACTTTCTCCTATACATAAATATAACATAATGACCAGCACTTTCTCCTATACATAAATATAACATAATGACCAGCACTTTCTCCTATACATAAATATAACATAATGACCAGAACTTTCTCCTATACATGAACATAACATAATGACCAGCACTTTCTCCTATACATAAATATAACATAATGACCAGCACTTTCTCCTATACATAAATATAACATAATGACCAGCACTTTCTCCTATACATCATATAGTACTGATCCTTCCAACTCATCAATTGTACCTTGGCAAAAAGTTCAATAATTCAAGATTCTTACACTAACAGTGCCAGGACTGAGGAAAAGTTTCAGGAATTTCTTCTGATATTACCAAATTAATTAACTTCAGGTTACCCTGCATTGTTTTGATGTACTTTAATTTTTACACTGTATTGATATTATAAAAGGTGAAGTAATGCCAACGTTTCTTATAGAATTGAATATAATTTAATATAAATTACAGTTAGGAAATTTCGGTCTTATCCAGAATGTATACATGTTTACTTGAATATACATTTTCACAATTCGCCTATTCATTATCAAGTAAAGGTGTGAAAATTAGCACAATTTCATGTAACACCAACATGCAGTATTATTGTCATTTATTTTCACAGATTTTCTATATTAAAATTTAATTAATTATAAAAACCTGGTCATCACATAACACTTACCATCTGCCTGGTCATGCAGGTGGAAATAAATAAGAAGTGACAATGGCCTTATAAGTATATAACAAAGAAGGGAATAGGAGATTAATGTACATGGTAACAATCATGGATTTACCAAAAGGCATTTTTTCCCCTCAATTATTGAAAATCAGAAGGAAAATAATCAAAGCCAGCTTATATCTCTCTGACCAGGACTTTTAACAATCAAAATATACTGTCTGTCTTGGGGTTTGATAAATTAAATTAAAATTCTATCATCCATTGCATTTAGCCATGAGTTCTTGCAGACCTAATGACCCATACTGTGACCAAAAGTACCAGGCAAAAGGGCAGATAATTCCTGGACGGACTTAAAACAGATATTTTGAGTTTATCTACATGTATCAATAAAGTGTCTTAATACTTAAGCCATAGAAACAATAGGAGACAAAGAAAGGTCATGCGAAAAATCTTAATTCATAAAATATATAAAATGGTTGTTTATTAAGTTGCTACCCAATTCTTTTGCTGTATTTTGTTATCTATACACATGTACACACATAAAGCAACATCATAAGACTACTAACTTTATTTTCTGTACCTCTTACTGATTATGAGACAAAAGAGATTGAAGAGGCTTGAAAAAAACAATGTCAAAAATAGTAACTTTGTTATTTGATATCAGATTTGGACGCATTATTTATTATTGACAACCTCAGAAAGAAGAAATGAAACTGATTTAAATTGATTTCAATTTCCACTCTTGTCTTTTGATGTTTTTATACTTATTATTCTTTTTTTTAAATTTCATGCCGGTGTTTTTAAATAAGATTTGACCTAGCTTTATAGCCTAAACTAGAAAGGGACTTCTTTCAGCGTATACTTACGCCTAAAACATAAGGGTGTCATGTGCTCTACTGTGTCCCAGTTCTGTATCCACGCTTGCTTTTAAAGGGTATCTGGGTTGTCCTTTATTCAATATGTAACAATGTTAATCAGTATGATGGATCATTTGATTAAACTTCCATCCCTGTAAATCTGATGGACTTTGAACTGATGATTGGACCAATCAGATTATATAACAGTTACATTCCTTTTTTAGTAAAACATTGGAAGAAATGAAATTATAAGGACTTTTATAAAGCAAAAAGAGCCATTTTACCACCATTGTAAAAATATAAAGATGTGGTATGATTGCCAATGAGACAACTATCCACTAAAGATCAAGTGAAGTGGATGTATGCAATTATATGTAACCCTACCGACTTCAACGAGACAAAAACCATACCATATAGTTGGCTATAAAAGGGCCTGACATGAAAAATATGAAACAATTCAATTGAGAAAACTAACGGCCTAATTTATAACTAGGTTTATATTTACCATGTGATACCAAGCTGAGTTGCTACTCAATGACATGTATAGTGCAGTGGGAATATTTCTATGGACTTCAGCCAAATGATGTTGTCACAAGATAAAGCTGACTTTCTAGTATAAATATTTCCTTTACTAGTGTAATAAAACAAAATGAGATACATTTTTCAGAAACTTTATTCCAGGATTCATTTTAATATAAATCCATATTTACATCTGACTCTGCTTTACATTATAAATGACCATCCATCAAAAAGTGTGAGTCATTTACTTTGGTTAACTGTACATGTAGGTAAGGTCTTTATGGTACTTGGCTTTCATATGCTAACACTTGACAGCATTTACTATTATTAGTCATTCTGGTGGTTAGTAACTTGCAAAAACAACTTTTCTTCAAGCAAAAATGTAATAGTCTTACCCCTTAGTCAGTTTGATATTTAACTCTAGTCGTATGCAGATAATTTAAACTGAACAAAGAAAAAAGTTTAATAAAGGAAAACAAAGATTTTAGATCAGTCAGAGGAAATGTCGGGGCTTTGTGTTTGGGTATTTTAAATACCTGTGTGGTGATTCATACTGTGAGTTAGGGGGTAAAGTATTTCATGTTGACATAATCTTATAAAAGACCTTATCCCCTTCAACAGATACCCATAATACAACTGTGTATTGACCTAGAAAAATAAAATGTGTTTGTGCGCTATGCTTGATTTCCATAATGTATATCTGTGTAGATAAGTTGGTTAGCCTTGTGTGTAAAGAGAAGTTACTTTGACAAAGGAAGTTTGCCATTAAAACTTCAGAATGAATCACTCTGAATAACTGAAAGAAAAATCGTTTGCCAGATTTTAAAGCTTGATGTAGGCCTTGTATTTGAACTTTTTCTTCTTCAATCAGCAAAGGTTTCCCTGATATTTCTCAACAAATTTAAGCAGACCATAATTCAAACACAAGCATTTTTCCCATAAAATAAAATCAATATTCATAGTACAAAGCATATTAATTAATGCATTTTCTGTGCAGTAAAGGTTCACTCACCTTAATTTAACCTTATAAAGCTTGACATGTGGAAAGAAATATTAAGGAGGGATAAAATTATCAACCTATATTCCCTGAGATTATTATCACCTGCTTGTCTTCCTGACAAGTGGCCACACCTGGAAGGTAAAATTTGTTTCCTCATATCTAAAATACCAGTCCTCCAAGGCATGTGAACAATGGTGGCATTCACAGAACTGGAGGGCAAACAGTCATAAATGTGGTTGTATGCATCAGTGTGTCAATGTTTGACAATTAAATAGGTCATCACAATATAATTAAATTCACATTGTGTTAATTCATTCTTTCCCTTAATCATTCAAGCTTATTCTTCATACTGTACAATACCCCCAAAATGTGTGTCAGTAATTTATGTACATATAGAATCGTATGTGTAAAACAATGGGAATATGAGCTCACAATGGACTGTGTAAAATACAACCTTTAATTTCAAATATAATATAAACATAAAAAGGGAAAACCTGATGGTCTGATAAGTACAACATATAATGTACAGGTATATCTTTAATATATATATATGTGGGCTTTTATGATTGATTGTACCTAACAATCAGTAAAACTGTTTGATACCCCCTTCCTCGCATGTCAAATTATTGAACAGATATATTTGTAAGAACTCATGAGTTGAAACTAAATACTGCTTCAAAATTTCCACAATGCAGAAAAATTCTTTTACATACATAATTTTTGAGTAAGATAAAGTGGTTTTGAAGAAAAGCCATGAATGCCACATCCACATAAGAGTTGTGGTTTTCTTTGTTTGATAGTTATCTGAACAAGTTTTCATATTGATCAAGGTATACACACAGGAGTGCTGGAGCCCATATAATGTTAGCTTTAGATTAAAGGGGCCTTTAAATGGGAAAATTTCTCAACGAGGTTTAGAAATAGGGAATTTTTATTCTAAAACATTTACTCTGTGGCTTGTATTTTATAATTAAGGAAATTATTAACAAAGGATAAGAGACACAATGCAATAAAACATGGATATTTTCTCTCAAAATATATTTTTTTTAAATTTCTTTCTACATGCAGGTTTACTTTGTTGGAAGAATCTGTAACATTTTCATAAATAGTAAAAATTGTACCCCAGAAAAATTGTCTTCTTTACCATATATTGCCCCAGGAACAGTTAAAGGAACAAAACAGGAACATATTTATTTCATTCATGTCCTCAATAAAAAATAAAACATTGAAATTCAAAATAAATACAGCTAAGAAGGAGACATGATATGATAACTATTCACCAATATAAATAAACTCATCATAGATACCAGGATTGAAATTTTGTATTTGCGCCAGACGCGTGTTTCGTCTACAAAAGACTCATCAGGGACGCTCGAATAAATAGTTAAAAAAAAAACAAATAAAGAACGAAGTTGAACGAAGTTGAGGACCAAAAATTCCTAAAAGTTTTGCCAAATACAGCTAAGGTAATCTATTCCTGAGGTAGAAAAGCTTTAGTATTTCAAAAATTCAAAGTTTTGTAAACCCATTTTTCTAAAAAAAAATCTATTTGTAGCATTAGAACAAACAAGAAACCTGTCAATCACACACATAAGTTTCACAAATTCTAGACAAACCAACACTGTCAGGGTGTCCCTGTTTTAAGCAAATATTAATGAAACACTACACATGTGTTACATTAGAATATTTAATCAATTTTTGCCTCCTAATATAAACCTATAGATGATCATACATGCTGGCAACATTGTGTTTTATGATCAGAGCCAACAGTGTTTTATTTTCTTTCTTTTATCAGCATTTGTTTGTAACAAAAGAAAGAATATCAGCCAGAACAAAGAAAAAAGAAAATTATCAATCAAAAAGTACAGCAAAATTAAATTTTCATTATAAAAAAGTTGTTTTGTACTAAAAACCAAAAACACAGACACATGTGATCCTACAAAGTTATTGGTTAAACTTATTTAAGTACAAAGAACAAACATCTACATGAACTGTACATGAAATCTAGCTTTTCACTTTGATGTCCTCAAAACTGGTTTCATCATTGAAAAACGTTTTCAGCTCTGTATGTATAAATTTGCATTAAAAATCACCTTAAAGTTGGTAAGAAGATCTGTGTATATTGAGAGTTCAGAGCACTTCATACTTGAGTGAATATGTAAAACACCATTGGATTCTGTAATCAATAAACCATTGATTTATAAACCATTGATTGGCATGGTGTTCTTTCATTCTTTGTTTTTGATGCCCACAAACTCAGGTAAAAAAAAATACCATATAACTAATTTTACTGTCACTCTATACCTTTGTTAATATGGGCAAATATTCCTAGTCTCGACACCTACTATTTTTAGAAAATGTTTTAAAAGGTTGACATAAATTTGTATAAGGCATATGTACGCTACAGGCCAAACCAACTTCAATCCCTGACAGGAAATTTACTTTTATTCTTCAAAATAAAGTAAATGGTTGAGATGAATATTGCCAGACAGGAAATTAATTTACGTTTCTCCTTATATTTCCTGTGTGACTAAATAGAACCCATGTCCTTTAGAAAAATAGCAATGAATAAGGTATAAAATCACAACAGGATATAACTTCCAGTTTTTTAAAACCCATGTAATCTTGGTTATTTGGAATACAGGCAATTTTTCTGTGAAAATATCATTTTCATGAGATACACATTTCCAGATTTAGAAATGGACTAAAACAGAGCAATATAAAATATAAAATTTAATACAGAATTTCCCGTGATATGATTGATCACCATTGTCAAATTTGAAATGACAAATAATGAAACTCAAGATGACATTTAAAAAAAACAACAGCTTTTCTCCCAAAAACAGTTTCACTGAAATCATGGTATTGAATTTAAAGATAACAACAATCATTAACTCAGGACTTAGCAGAGTCTGTATCTCACATGTAAAAAGGGATCATCAAAGGCAATCATATAATAAATACATTTGAAAACCGAACATGTATCTAAAATTCATAGATGATATTTGCTATTATTTCTAGGTAAAACAATTGAAATAGTCTGTGGTTCCTGATAAACGAATGGTCTAAGGTGATTTAGAAATACTACCACTAACAAGGGACATAATGCCCTGCTCATACTGTGTGATTATCATGTTCAGAGAGCTGTAAAATCTGAATCAAAACCCACAATTTTGCAATTATATTATTATATACTGTTGATTCATTTATTTTCATGGATACAAATTTTCTTGAATCGAGGAAAGATAGTATTTTTGTTGATATTTGATTGCTTGGTTTTGCCAAAGTTTGAATACAAACCTGTAGAAAATTGTACTTCTTTGAAAACTTAAATCAATGTTCACATATGTCCATGAAATCCTTGAAAATTGGTACCCCGCAAATAATAATGAATTCGAAGTAGTCTACTTCATAATGAACATGTGTTTAGTGTACTTAGTTTAAGTTGATGTGACCAGAAACTACCCTAAACCAAAACTTTAACATGCTACAGGACATACAGCAAAATGAATGGATGGTTGGACACACAGACCAGAAAACATTATGTCCCTCTACTATTGTACAGTAGGCATATCTTAAACATAAACAGCATGTATATAAAATATACATGGCCTTCACAGAGCTCACTCTACTTCATATGAAACCTTAAAAATAAATGTGTCAGATGTTACACGTAGATCATACTTCTGATAATCCCATATCAGTCAAGGGTGTGTTCATATGTTGAAAATATGTGATAAACAGATTAATACATGACTTTTCTATATGAGCCAAGTTATCATCACTAGTCCCTGACAACCCATATCAAACCCTTGGCTAATACCTCAGGCTGATATGGTGGGTATGGAATATGCCATGAATCAATTTGTATATAAATTCTAAATCAGTACTAGGGAACATAGTCTAGTGATGATGCTGAAAAATCAAGAAGCCTTAAGCATGTAAGGGTCATTGCTGATTGCCAAGAATACATCTACTGGTAGTTTGAAAAATGCTTACCATCCTTGGTAACAAAAGCATTTATAACCATAGAAATAGGACACTGCAATTTTTGGACTTGAACCCTGCCACTTATGTCGGCTTATTAAATATCTGCATAGGTGAAGGGCAATGTTTAAGAAGTCAACCACTGTCAATATCCTTCATGTTCTTGTTTAATAGTACATCAGAACAGCTGTTAACATCTGGATTTGAAGGATGTTTTAAACATATCAAAAATATTCATGCAAAAAAATGACTGATTACCTTGCTGTCTGAATCTTCTGAGATTACACCAGAACAATTCTGCATTTGTGAACCTCCCTCTGAAATTAAAAACAGAGTTAAACATACATTAAATACTGTGGAAATGTGTACATATTGTGCAGTTCCTGTCTTTAGTTTATACAATACATTTATCTGTCATTGGACTATGTACTCATAGAAAATCATCAAGATTTGCCACTGTGACAAATAGAGGAAAGGATTAAACAGCCATGATACAGCATAACAAAATCCTAAATGGAAACTTTCAGGTCTCTTCTTTTCATTAAAGAAATCTCATAAGAAATGAAATTTAAAAAATGCTAAAAAACAATTATGGTTAAAAAAAAAACAAATATTTGATTTCAAGGAAAAAAAGAACACTTCTGATTTGCAATTTCACCATTAATTGCTTTCACTAAGACCATTTTGTTTAAATTTTAGGATGATAGGTGTTAAAACATGGAAATGACTGAGGAAACAGGGGATCTTAGACAATGATAAAATCACATCTTAATACATGTATTAATACAAGTGCTGCAGTTCCTATATATACTGTATACTTATTATGATATGATTGTGAAGTTTTATAATTTTTTGTACAATTGTAACATCTATATCAAGTATGATTTGCTGCTAGACATAAAAAAAATGTCCACTGGTTTGGTTATAATTATAATCCATCTTTCGTGGTAATTTTTTAGCAATCTTAAGATAAAAAGAAATACATTTGTAACCTAAGATTACAAAGGATCAATCCACAATTTACACACTACACTTTTGTCTTAGGCATCAATAAAACTGCCATGTACATGTAGAGAACAGTCTAATACAGGATTGTAGTTATATGCAGTGAGATACCAGAGATAATCCATATAGCCATGATGGCTGACAACCTTTCTTGAGAGAGAGTGTGTAAATACAATATGCAGCAGGAATGTATAACAGTACTTATGATTTACAGACTAATACAGTGATCTAGGAATGACCTACATTGTTTAACTGTGCTTATGATGATATTAAATAGTCAAACAACACATCAATATATATCAATCAATCATTCAAACAACACATACATTTCTTACATCACCAGCACTTCTACATGATATTTGTCTTACTTAGATTATGCATCTATTGGGACCCTAAATACAACAAAATTATTCAACATCAACAACATGTGCTGCATATTGAAGTAAAACCATACCAGTACATGTGTTACTGCTAAAAATGCTTTGTAAATTTATATCTTAATATAAGTTAAACTTATCTAATTAAAAACTGACCATGAAATGTTCTCCTCCTTGTGCTTTCTCTTAAATCATAAAATGGAGATCCTCTCTGATTAGGTGATGTTCTGTGTGTTGGTGAAACTCGCTGAGAAGGTGAGGTCCTATCTGGTGAACTTAAATGTGGACTTAAATTTAAAATTGGTGGACTATGTGGGCTGAAGAAATCTTCATCATCATGTATACTATGTAAATGGTCTAATGTTTCATGTGCATAATAAGTATCTGATCCTCCAACTAGAGCTCCAGGAGATTTGGGTAACAAGTGATGATAATGCTGAAATATTTGTGCATCTTTTTGAGGTGCTGCCACTGGCATTATCTTCTAACCTTTAAAAAAAGAACATTTTCAAAAGAATACCATGACAATTTTTTGTTAAAAAAGATCTACCTGTAACTATCAACTAAAAGGTATTACTTATTGTTCAAAAGTATTAACCTCAGTTTAAGATGTACATGTATCATCATATTGGCTGTGCCCTTTGATTATATATATATATGCCTGTTGAACTGCATAAACATTCCTTCTCTTTTTTGTATAATAAAAACAAAGACAAGCCAAATTCCATGAAACCAGGGTTCTCACTAAGGATTTTTGAAGGCTAGTCCAGGGACTCGTCATTTTTGGCCATGGTGAGTCCAACAGTAAGAAGAAGAAATTTTATTGCAATATAATGTATTATTTTAGTCTCCATGACCTAATAGAGCAATGCAATGACATTTTAAACTTTTGCTATAAAATGATGATATGTGTATTCAGTTTATACAAAATATTTCAATCTTGATGCATCTTTGGACTCACCAGTTTTGAAAATGGTGAGTCCAGACAGCTTTTCATGAGTCCAGGACTCATGGACTCACCTTAGTGAGAACCCTGTGAAACAAAGGTACACTATCAAATTATAATAAGCAAAAGTATACATGATTTATAATGATTGATATATATACACCGGTATACATTGAATATGGATTCAAAATTCAAGGAATGCATTGAACTGTAAAAACCTAAATGAAAAATTTGTATGGAAAAACTAAAAGTAATAGTTCGTTCATTAGACCATAGATAGATAATAAACATCATAAAGTAGGGTGAAACTAGTTGTGTGTGAAGAGCATTCATCCTTATACATGTATCTTGTCAGTGAATGGAAAATGATCACTCAAAAAACCCATGGTAAACATCAAAACGTTTAATTCATATAATCTGTAGAAGAGAATACTATAGTAAATATTTAGCCATTAAGAGTTTTTGATTACCTGAAAATAATCCTTCCTAATTTATTTCAATCTGATTAAACTACAGATCCTGTGTCCAAGCTGTGCTTACAAGGATCTGAAAAACCTCCATTCTATATTCTGTTTTTAAAGACCTTTCAGAGTCCTCTGGTTTTGTCAGATTTATACACACCTTCAAAAATTTGAAGGCTAAAATTTCATTGGCTGATGAAATAATTACCAGAACAGAAAGTAAAACGGAGTGTTGTCAGATCCTTGTAAGCAAAGCTTAGAAAAAGGATCTGTATTTTAATCAAATAGAATTTATCTTTATCTGATTTACATTACAAAATATATAACACCCTTCTTTCACTTTGTAAACAAAGCCATGGTCTAATTTTAATAAAACATGGTGAACACATGCATGTCTGCTATGAACGAAAAAAAGTCTAATTTTTTTGTAATATTTGAATCAAATAATTCTTTCATGTCATGCTCTTTGCTCATTTTACCATGGGTACATGTGTAGCCATTATACATGTATTTGTCAATATTTACACTTTACAAATGGTACATGTATGTATAAAGATATTGACAAGTATAGCACCTACCCTGTTAAAATGAGCATAAAGCATGACATAATAGAATTATTTCTTAATAAGATAACAAAGCATCTGCATGTCTGTCTGAACAAGAATCCCACAAGTCTTGTAAGAGCAGAATAGCATTGCTGATAAGGTGATCATGCTTATGATGAGACTTTCGGGTACTAGTACCCATGAGGGATCTCAAAAAATAAATACATATTATTCAAAAATTATTTTAATATGATCTTCATAATTCTTTATCAGTTAACATTGTACAAAATTATATAACCAATTAAAATTCTTCCTTTGACTAAAATTAGATCAAATTTTGTGAATGATTATTACTTATTTTAGTACACTAGCATGTCAAATTATTATGCTGCATTTCACATTGTGTGTGCCTATGTCTCTTTAATTCAAAGATTTAAAAACAAATTATGGTATGCATGGTACCTTATCCCCTGGGCTCCTACCACAGATGTGTGTTTCATGTTTTAGGGTTAGGAGTATGTGTCAGTCGACTAATATTAAACCAATTTGTGTGAACTAGTAAAAATCTAATTTTAGTCAACTATTTGTATTCCATTGGCAGTGTTTAATATCACAGAACTTGTAGAATAGGCAATATGTGTTAGTTGACTACCATGCAATTGCATTCTATAGATTGTGCAGTCAGTCTCCTGCAAAATTTAGATTGTATTCCAGTCTGCTGGCACAAAGTATCCAATAACAAAACATCTGTGATATGAGCTCATTTCATTATCGAAATTTTAATTTCCTATATATTAAGCCAAGGATTTACATACTAAGTTGAAAATATCAACCCTGGATTAAACCTCATGTAGGTGAAAATAATTTAGTGATTTCCAAATTATAGAAGTCACAATCAAAGTGCAATTGTACAAATCAAAACTTGGGTGGTTATAAACTATATTTCAGTCATGTTTTGGACAAATTTCAAAAATAAGGCGACTGTTTTCAAATATGAAATAAGTAAAAAATGCTCATTGTTTAAAGCAATCAATTGTGAATATTCATAAAAACATAATTTACAGTCCTGTAACGGTGTTTATGGGGTTTCTTTCATGCTCCCAAATAACCTACCACGCATATCACACTTATCGATACATAAACAAGTGTACATGTACACACATTTACGGAGTACACAAAGTTATTCGGGTAAAGAATAAAGTTTTTCACTTTAATATCCTCTTCCAATGTCGATTTTTCTATCTAAATTTCGTTATCTTACCTTTAAATGTATATTTTCTCCTTTATTCGCTTTTAACAACACCAGGGACATGCACAAATAATCAAATTTTGAATTTTCTAACTGAACACACACGCACGGAGCTGGATAGCTTGGTGTCTACTGTACACACGTCGAAGTTGATTCCCCGCCTACTGCTATGACGTCACCGGAAGTATTTTAATGATTTTCGATTTGTGTGCTTTTTTTCAGGCATTTCTTTCCAATTATCGCTTTATCATTCATCTTTACTTTTATTATAGTTATTTAGGAATAGTTCTTCTTCATTATGTTAAAGAAAAATCTGCTTTTCCCTTTTAATAATTATCAAAATCCTTGGCTAAAAACACAAATAACTAACAAATGAATAAATCTATAAATAGAAAATAAATACCGAGATTTTTACCAATTGACGTCAAGATTTATATCACATGATATTTTGTACTTAAATGATTGGCTGTTTAAATATCCTTGGTTCGACTTTGACAGAGAGAAGCGGAGAAGAAAGCGATTTGTAAACAAGACATTTTATTTCAAGTTATAGACTATTTACGTGATTTTTATAGAAGGAGAAAGTCATTAAAAACTTGCATGTGAACCGTTAAAAACGTTATTTCTTACGAAAAGGTTTCACACGGCGGATATCAACAAAGAATTCTTGTTCTTTGTTATTCAGATTGACAGTTTTTGTGCGACTCGACGCCATATTTGTGTTTGTTACACTTTTTGTGAAAGAAAATTTCCAGAACAATCGATTAGATGACTGTCTCAGATATGATACGCCAAAACGAAGAAATGTTAGATGGGCAGTTGCATTGTAGGCTTGAGAAGAGAAACAATAGACAAGTGAATAATGATCGTCAAATGCGCTCTCCATTGAAATTCATATCGAGGAAGACCCCGTCGCCCAAGTTGGGTAGCATAAATGAACATTTCGAAACAAAAGTGCAAAATGAAATGGAACATCCCAACACAGTTTATGCTGGTGCTAAGTTTTCAGAACCACCATCACCTACAGTGCTACCCAAACCGCCAACACATTGGACACAAAGATGTGCGACGAACAGTCTTCCTTTTTGCAATGATATGGCTTTTCAGTTAAAAACAATCTTGAAAGTTCCAGTGGAAGCATAAATTCATATGAATTGATTTAGTTTTGACATTCCAGAATTTTATTTTTTCATCATAAATCAATCATTCATAATCACAACAGTATTGAATTTCGTTCATGAAGTTTTTTTTGTAATGTGATTTTGTTAAATGTTTTATTGTATTTTTTTTATGTGGTTATAAACCAATTTATAACTTTCTTTTCAAACTAGGTTTTAAACTCAGATCTAAGTTTTCTCTCTCTTAAACAAACCGGAATTTAATAGTATGTATCAAGAGATATTAAAAAAAATTGCTTGGATATTTATAAAAAAAAACATAAAGGAGATATTGATACTTCATTTGCATATAATGAATTATCAGTTACATTGAGAAACAAAAAATACTGCTTTTGTATTTATAATAATACATGGTTTCAAGTACATGTGTTGTTACTTTAGTATGAAATATAATAGTTGTCTTAATATTTTCATTTTGTAAAAATCCTTGATACATAATATTAAATAAAGATGAATGGTTAATGCTAAGACTGATAGATATTTTTATTTGTGTAAATAGTTTAAATTGTATATAAAATTGATGTAAATTGCAGGGTTCTTAATATATATTTTTAAAGAAAGTGCAATAGTCATATTTTAAAACATGATCACAAGAAAATTTACATTTTAACTAGGAAGATAAACAGAATTTAAAACTTTTTAAAAGAAATGATAAGATAAGCAGGCAAAGGATTAAAAGAAATGATAAGATAAGCAGGCAAAGGAAAAGAATAAAATATTTTATTTTAGAATACATAAAAAAGTTGTTAGAGTTGTGTTAACATAATTGAATCTGTTAGAAAGTTCCAAAAAGGAAAGTAGATCATTTAATTTTAGATTTATTAATTAATACATAAATTTTAAATAAAATAATAAGAAATTATAAATGAAGAAAGGTATGCACCCTGTAACATAGACACATGTTTTTTTTTAGAAATGGATTACATTTTTTATAAGGATTTTAGATAAAAGTATAATTTTTTTGTGCTTAGGATAAGTTTGAAAAAAATTGATATAAAATTTTACTATGATAATTACTGCTTTTTGTAACAAGAACATATTCCTGTAAGAATTGTAAGTTCAGTCAAAAAACAACAACATTTCCTGTATGAATTGGAATATCAAGGAAAGAAAAAGACAAAAGACAATTTCAGCAAGCCAAGTGAAGAAATGTGAATTTTCTGTCATCATGTACATGAACACTGCAGTCTACATCACCAGGATAATTACTATCAGTATCAGCATCAACCATACCAGTCACCAATAGAGCTTCTTCCTTCTACCTTTTAGGACCCTCTTTAGGGTCCGCAAATTACTCAAAAAGAGTCTAAAATTGTTGTACATCAGTATTTGTTGTTTTAATTTTTATTGCCAAACAAAACATTCTTTCTACATGTTGAGTTGCAAAGCAACCAACAAATTTCTTTTGATTCTCAAATATTTAAAAAAAAAATTTTGTTAGGCCAACTAATATATTTTTGTCTCCCCTTGACAGAGTCAAAAAGCGAGACATAGGTACAATGTATGCTGTGTCCGGCGGCATCAACAATGTATCATTTTGTGATTAGGTCTAGGTCATGGTGAACCACTAGTGGTAGGTCAATGATATTTGGTATGCAGTTGTATTAGCAGTGGCACATCTCATTACCATGGAGATTATTTGGCCCCGCCCCCTCAGTCAAGGTCTATTGACTTTGAAACTTTGCTTAGTTTACTTGTATGAAACTTTGCTTAGTTTACTAGTATTAGTTTGTGATTAGGTCAGTTTAAGGGGAACCATTAGTGGAAGGTCAATGATAATTGGTATGCAGTTGTATAAGCATAAGCACATCTCATTTCCATGGAGAATATTTGATCCTTACCCCTCAGTCATGGTCTATTGACTTTGAAACTTTGCTTAGTTTACATGTATTAGTTTGTGATTAGGTCTAGTTCATGGTGAACCACTAGTGGTAGGTCAATGATATTTGGTATGCAGTGGTATTAGCATTGGCACATCTCATTACCATGGAGATTATTTTGCTCTGCCCCCTCAGTCAAGGTCTATTGACTTTGAAACTTTGCTTAGTTTACATGTATTAGTTTGTGATTAGGTCAGTTTATGGGAAACCATTAGTGGTAGGTCAATGATAATTGGTATGCAGTTGTATAAGCATTAGCACATCTCATTTCCATGGAGAATATTTGCTCCTTACCCCTCAGTCATGGTCTATTGACTTTGAAACTTTAACTTAGTTTACATATATTAGTTTGTGATTAGGTCAGTTTAAGATGAACAACTAATGTTAAGTCAATGATATTCGGTATGCAAATGTATTGGCATTTGCAAGTTTCATTTCCATGGAGATTATATAACCCCACCCCCTAATTATGGTTCATTGACTTATAAACTTTAACATAGTTTACAAGTTAATGTTTGTGTTTAGGTTTGTTTAAAGGGAACGACTTATGAAAAGTCTGGTATTTGGTATGCAGTTGTATTAGCATTGGCACATCTCATTTCCATGGAGATTGTTTAGCCCTGTACCTTCAGTCATGGTTTATTGACTTTGAATATTTGCATAGCTTACATGTTAAAGTATTGCTATTTTGATTTCAACATTTGAATTATCAAAATAACAAATAGACGAGACATATCTCTGTGTTAACAGCTTATTTTCTTTTTTCTGTACTTTACTGATATTTGCAGTTTACAAGTAGATACAGTCTGGGGTTAAAAGTTTGTTACACATCAATTAATTTGTCAATCGGCCATCAGTTGTTACCATGGCAAAAATAGAACATTTGGTAAAATGCAAGTATGTGTGCTGCTTCAAGAATGTTTTATTGTCACCCGTGCAATGCGTTGCTGGGGAAATAGAAATTCTGTGCGTCTGTCCGTCTGATCTTGTTAGCACTCTCACATGTACAATTCTTGCAAGATTTTTATGAAACTTATATCATATTTTTATATCAGCTATTTCTGGGATAAGTTTTACAATCAGTGTCGATCAATTATTATACGACCGCAAAACAATTTTTGTGGTCGTATATTGGGTTGGCGTCGTCGTTGTCGTCCGAAGACACATTAGTTTTCACACTCTAACATTAGTTTAAGTGAATGGATCTCAATGAAATTTTACCATAAGGTTCAATACCACGAAAAGAAGGTGGGGATTGATTTTGGGGGTTATGGTGCCAACAGTTAAGGAATTAGGGGCCAAAAATAAGCATTTTTGTAACTTCCAGACATAACTTGTGTGTAAGTGTATGGATCTCTCTGACATTGTACCACAAGGTTCCATATCACAAAGGGAATGCTGGGATTGAATTTGGGGGTAATTGCCTCCAAATTTTAGGAATTAGGGGCCAAAAAGGGGCAAAAAACAATCATTTTTCTAGTTTCATGACAATAACTTGTGTGTAAGTGTATGGATCTCTCTGACATTGTATCTCAAGGTTCCATATCACAAATGGGAATGCTGGGATTGGTTTTGGGGGTAATTGCCTCCAAATTTTAGGAATTAGGGTCCAAAAAGGGGCAAAAAACAAGCATTTTTCTAGTTTCATGACAATAACTTGTGTGTAAGTGTATGGATCTTTATGAAATTGTACTACAAGGTTCCATATTACAAAGGGAAAGCTGGAATTGAGTTTGGGGGTAATTGCCCTAAAAGTTTAGGAATAAGGGGCCAAAAATAAGCATTTTTCTAGTTTCCAGACAATAACTTGTGTTCAAGTGTATGGATCTCTCTGAAATTGTACTGCAAGGTACCATACCACAAAGGGAAGGCTGGGATTGATTTTGGGGGTAATTCCCTCAAAATTTTAGGAATGAGGGGCCATAAAAGGGCAAAAAAACAAGCATTTTTCTAGTTTCATGACAATAACTTGTGTGTAAGTGTATGGATCTTTATGCAATTGTACTGCAAGGTTCCATATCACAAAGGGAAAGCTGGGTTTGAGTTTGGGGGTAATTGCCCTAAACGTTTAGGAATTCGGGGCCAAAAAACAAGCATTTTTCTAGTTTCCAGACAATAACTTGTGTTCAAGTGTATGGATGTCTCTGAAATTGTACTGCAAGGTACCATACCACGAAGGGAAGGCTGGGATTGAGTTTGGGGGTAATGAATCATAAGGGGTTCAAAAAATTTGGGGGGGGGATTTTTTTTTCCTTTTTTTTCTTTAAAATTTTCCATTTTAAAATGGTTA